CGCCGACCCCAAGCAATTTTTAAGAGCAAGGAGAGTTGGGCTGGCGCTGTGTCCTGAAGCGCTGGCATTCCATATGGGCGCCAATTCAAGTCCTTGCTCCTCTTCCAATCCAGCTCTCTGCTATGGCCTGGGAAAGCAGTAGAAGATGGCTCAAGTGCTTGGGCCCCTGCACCCATGTGGGAGACCCGGAAGAAGCTCCTGACTCCTGGCTTCGGGTTGGCGTAGCTCCGGCCGTTGACTCTATTTAGGGAGTGAATCAGTGGAAGGAAGACCTTTCTCTTTGTCTCTCTCTCTCTCTCACTGTCTGTAATTCTACCTCTCAAATCTTTAAAAAAAAAAAAAAAAAAAAAAAGGCAAGGAGAAGACATTGGGAATTGGGAAGCGGCATGTATAGGTGATCCAGCAGCATCTCAGGCCCAGAAGTGATGAAGGTATCTTCAGAGTTACCAGACCATAGTGACTCTCACCTGAGAATAAATGATTCCAGAGCCTAGAGGTGACCGTGGTCCTAGCCTTGGCAGCCACAGAGGCACTAGAGGCAGGCCTCAGAAAGACAGATTGTGGACAAAGAGTAGGAAGGGTCGGACTGGTGTTCAGATCCGGCTTCCTGCTAACGCACCTGGGAGAGCAGAAGATTGCCTGATTGCTTGGGTTCCTGCCACCCATGTGGGAGATCTGGATGGAGTTTTTGGCTCCCAGCTCCTGGGTTTGGCCTGGACTAGCCTTGGCCATGTGGCTATTTGGGGAGTGAGCCAGTGGTTGGAAGATCTCTGTCTTTCCCTCTCTCTGTAACTTTGCCTTTCAAGTAAATAAATAAATCTAACACAAAAGAAAATAGTAGGGGGATGTCAAGCTAGCATTGAGAGGTGAGACTGGAGAGCATTTGGGGAGTGGCAGTGGGGATATGAGAATGAAATCTGACAAATCTTGGGCTTCATCTTCATTCCCTTTGCCTCTGTTGAGGTCAATGGATCCTGACAGGGATGTTTGCCTTGTAGAAAGTAACACCTGGAAGGAGGGAGAGAGAGGGGAGGAGGGAGGGAGGAAGGAAAAGAGGGAGGGAGGGAGGAAGAACTTTGCTCTCTAACTTTGCTTTCTCTTCCCCTGTGAGCACCAGATCTCGGGCAGCCTGGGACCCCAACTTTTCCAAGGATGCTTTGCCTCTGACTAGTGGTTGGACAGTTCAAGCAGACCCACATTGGGATAGGGCTGTAGGATTCATGAGTCTGTGAGCCACACCTCTTCGGCATGTGAATCACCACTCTCTCTGGGCCAGTGGGCGAGGCGGAATGAATGGAGTCAGAGGATTTGAGGCGGGGAGGCAAAAACTGGAGAGGGGACAGCGAGTGGAAGAGCTGGGGGGAAGAGAGCCTCCCTGGGCAGGTGGCTCCATTTGATTTCCGATTTAAAGGGGAGGCTTAGATGGCCAAGAAGAAAAAGGCTAATAAGAAAAATATTAAACTGCAGTGTGTGTGTCCCCAGGGACTTCCTGTTGCCATGACTGACCTCCCGGAGAGCGCCATTCGTTCCTGAGCATGGCAGCTTTATAGGCACTTGTAGGCCTGCAAAGAACACCAATTTGCTGCTGCAGTTTGTTTTGATAACTGAAACTTTCAATAAATCTATATTAAAATCAAAGGGAAAATTAACTAGGCCCCAGCGAGGGGCACAGAGATAAGGGAGCACATTACCACCCTGGCCTCAGCCACCCCACATCCGTCTCCTAGTTCAGCTTCAGGTCACCAGGGAGATGAATGGCTGGGGCTTGTGGGGAACAGCCCTGGGTGGTGGTGGGGGAGCAGGGAGAAGGAGGAAATGGCCAAGTCCAGCTCCCACCGCCCCTCCAGTGAAAGAAGACCACCAGGGAGTGGGGGGGGGTGAGGGGGTGGGCTAGGGGTGTTCCCAGTGGAAAGAGGAGTTGGAAAGTCGGAGAAGGGTGAGAATAACAGAAATAACAGACACTGCTTATCTGCTAGGTCCTGTGCTAAGTGCTTATGTCTTTGGTTCCTATTACAGGTAGGTGCTAGAATCATCTTCACTCTAGAGAGAAAGGGAACCTCAGAGAGTAAACTGCTTAAGGTCACAGACAGACCCAGGACTCAAACATGAACAGGCTCTCTCTGAGCCCACACTTCTCGGAATGACACTACACTCTCGTGTGGCTTTGGGGGCTAAGATGGCAGCACTTCTTTGTCTGATTTCCAGATAAAATTGTTTTGGACGCAGTCTGGGTTCCCTCAACTGTTGCAAGTTTGGGGGCTGCTGTGCATTGCCATTGGGTTCTGGGTTCTCTGCCTTTCAATTGCTAGTTGAGGTCCAGCTTTGATGGCCACCTTGCTTTTCCTGGTGGCTTGAGCGGGTAGAAGAATTAATTTGGTACTGTTTTTGCATGTACATGCAATGTTCTCAGGGTTGGTTTGGGTTCAATCACTTAATCCAGCAGCCAGAAGGCTGCTCAGGGTGGACCTGAGTACTGGACTCAGTTCATCTACCTCCCCCAAATTAACTTGTCCCATCTGTACCCTGTCCATTTGCTTAAAGCACAGCCCTACTGCCATGATTATCATCTCATTTACTAACACATCTGGTTATCTTAGTCTTCCCTGGATGAAGGTTAGGGCTTGACACCAGTGGTGGGACTGCTGTGGGCCTAGTTTGATCAAACCAGCGGTTTTGACTATTCTCACCATTTCTACTCTCAGATGAACCACCACAATTCAGGGTGTGGAATCTGGCGCCCTCTATGGCCACCAGAGTGATGGGGTAACATGACCCCTCCTTTCTTTCATCCCAGATGTGATGTTCTCATGCTGTCAGTCTACACTACTTGTACGTACATCCTGTGTGCTAGAACTGCTAGTTCTATTTTCTTTCAAACTCTGAATAACTTGATAGTACACTTCCTTGTGTTTTCTTTTCCTCCTCTTTTTCTTTCATTTTTGCTGCCCTGGCCTTAATGCTTTCCAATAAAATCTAAAATATAAGTTTCACTTTAGGCTCTGTTTTCTAGGGAACCAGAAAACACACAACAGAGCAAGGTTTAAGGGAGCCAAATACTGGGTTAGACAGTAATGCACTGGAACAGGTAAATACTAAGCTATTAAACTCTCCTATTATTTGAATGCATTTTGTCTGGTCTTTGTCCAGCAAGAGCTTACAGTCTTGTGAGGTCCTGGAAGAGGTACAGTTGATCCCTATAGTAGTAAGGAAGAAAAAACTATTCTTAGAGAAATCAAGGGGACCACGAAAGGATTCATGCTTGGCCAATACAGATATATAGATTTATTTCCCTCTTAACAGCCAAGAAGGTTGACCATACCCTATTCTTGGTCCAGAACTCAGGACATAAGGAGGCAAGAGATAAGATAGGCAACCTTATGGCCTCTTATTTGTCTTGTTTTATTTATATATATTTATTTGTTATTCCTCCTTTTTCCCCTCTCCAATCCAAAAGCTGTTTGAGAATACAGATTTTATTGTCTTACTCACCAGTGAATTCCTGAGCAGAGGCACTATAGGTGTATGTTGACTAATTGACCAACTGGGGTTAAAGTCTAGATAACAACGGTGGGAGGAAGACCCAGTTCCAGCTCCAAGGATGGGGGGAATAGGCACATGTGTCTCTACTTTCTTTTTGTTTTTAGAATGTTTATTTATTTGAAAGGCAGAATTACACACACACACACAGGCAGAGACAGAGAAAGAGGTCTTCTATCCGTTGGTTCACTCCCCAAATGGCCACAAGGGCCTCTGCTGCTTTCTGGGACTTGAACCAGTGCCCATACGGGATACCAGTGCTACAGGCGGTGATTTTACCTGCTATACCATAGTGCCGGCCCCCTCTACTTTCTTGACATTGAGGGAACAGACAAGTATCCTTGCTGGCCAACATATGTCCTTTGCATGTAACGAGCATTTGTTACACGCCTGTTTTATGCCTGGTACTGGGCTGGGTATTACTGATGCATCATGAATGATATGGAAATGCCTATAGGAAAGGTGCTTACAGTCCTGGGAGAGAGCAACACGGACATAGCCCATTATAGAACAATCAAATAAGTCCTGTAGGTGCACAGGAGAATCATTTACCTCATTTATGGGTGGGATTGAGGAAGGCATTTTTGATCTGGTGATTACCAGCCATTCCCAGCTCAGGCAGGAACCATCATGCTAAAGTCAGGTTTCACTGTCTCAAGTGAAGAGCGCAGATGGCAGATGGAGGGGCTTGATAACTGAAGCTGGGCCCAGAAAATGAGTCCTGACTGACTGGGAGGCTGTCAACACCATCACTGGCTTGGCCAAGGCTGAGATCTCCCTGCTTATACCTGGTACGATACCCACGACTTCCCAGGGAGGCATAACCAAGACGGAGAAACACATCTCCAGGCTTTGGCTAATAGGATGGCTGGTTGAAGCTTCCCACAGTTGAGGTCAGGCCGAAGTCTTTTTAACTTTTAAGTTTCTACTTAGGAAGACGCTTCAAAAATCTGTTTTGTTCTGTTTTGTTCTTAACCTCGAACTCTCTGTTACCAGACCTCCTGCTGGCCCACATTAGAAAGTAGAAGATAATTACCTGTTGAATGAAAGGGATCAAGAGTTGTCTAAATAGAACACGTCCTCTTCCGAGCCTACAATCACTTAAGACGTATATTGGAAGGTAGGAAAACGGAGGTGGGGGACTTGGTCCCTTTGGGGCTTAGAAAGTTATTCTTAAAAAAAAAAAAAAAATAAAAGAAAGTCCCTTTCACAGCTCAGAAGTGACCCCTCGCCTTCTGAGTACGTGCAACCACAAAACTACAAGTCCCATAAGGCCGGGTGCCGGGAGGCACCATCTTGACGCACCTTAGCGCGCATGTCGGCGGGAGAGCGAGCGTTAGGGGCGAAGAATCCCCGCCCCGCTGCAGCCCATTGGTTAAAGAGGTCGGCGACGGGCCCAGCGGTTGGCCACAGCGACCGCCCGTCCAAAGCGTCGGTCGGGGTCAGAGTGCGCGGAGGTGAGTCGGTGTGTTGTGGACTCGTGGTGCTGGCTGCCGCTGTTGAGGCGGCCGAGAACGGGCGGTAGGGAGCGGGCGGAGCTCGGCCTGCCTCTACCTGGCCAGCGCCACAGTCGGCGCGGGCCGCGCCCGCCGCCGTCAACTGCCCTGAGCGCCTGCTGAGGCCGAGGGAGACGTCGGGGCCTGCACCTGGAGGGAGCCTGCCGCGCTGGCCCCAAGGAGGGGGCGTTGCCATGGCGACAGCCTCTCCCGCTGCTGACGGGGGGCGGGGGCGGCCCTGGGAAGGAGGGCTGGTCTCCTGGCCCCCTGCCCCTCCTCTTACGCTCCCCTGGACTTGGATGGGCCCGAGTTGGGGGCAACACCCTGGGGTGGGTGAGGCTGAGAGGCTCCCCCCGATTGGGCCCTGGTTAATGCATGTGGGGTGTGGGTTGTGGCGCGCATTTTTTTTGCAGCCTTGGGTGCTGACCCATGTGCTCGCCCTGGGTGCATGATCTGAGTAAGGTTCTGGCCGCGGGGGAGCGGAGCAAGGGGTTTTGCAAGACAGCCTTGCTGAGTTGGTTAAGGGGGCTGACTTCTTACATGGGATTACTAGAGAAGAGGAAGGGAGGTTTGACAGGCTAGAAATCGAGCAAGGAGATAGTAGTACATCCCCTTTGCCCCCTCCCCAGGACGGACAGACAGACACACACACGGTTAACAGTTTGTCTCTTTAAGTCTGAGGCGGGGGTAGTAGTGATATTGGGAGTTGTGACTGAGGGGCCTAACTTGTCTAGCTTTCTGTTTGCCTTTCCTGCATATGGTCTAGCAACAGGTGTTTTCTTAGAATTTAAAAAAAAAAAAAAAAGGCATGAACTTGGCTTGAGGCTTGCTTGAGAATTCTTGCAAAATGTAGCTGCGTCTTGTTGACTTGGAAGATGCTAGATGTGTGGCCCCTCACTGGGGGTTTAGAGTTTGTTGTTAGGGCTGAATTTTGTAACTAGCAGCTCCTGTCAAAGTCTCTAGAGGTCTCTGGCCACTCCTACCGCATTTACTCTTGTGAGACATTTGAATTTCGGTCAATTTCCCCGTGGAAGGTCAGCAAAACATGAATCCCATTGGCTAAAGACAGCACTATTGGAACTGCAGTAGACTGTGATTGGCTGAATGATTTTTTGATTGTAGGGTTTCTACTAGAAATTGGCTTCATCAGATTCTGCTTTATTCTGACTTTATTATATACAGCACACCTTGTTTTCTGGGCTCATGGTTGGAGCTTAAGTATATTATACCTGAATCCCTTACCATTTAAAAGCCAATTTATAAACAGGGACTTGGAGTGTGACTCCACTAATGTGTGTCTGTGCTCTTGGTTAGAAACCCACTTAGCTGCCTTTCATCCGAATGCGGGTGTGGGGGAGGGGAGCTGCTGAGAAGTGATTGATAAGGTTTCCTTTATGGATTCTGCGGTGCTTCACTGGAGCTCAGAGCACTTTGGCAACTTAAGCACTCCAAATTAAAAGCTCATTAACAATTCCTGCCCCAAGATCCTGTAAATAAGCAGCTAGCTGGGTCATGGAGCTTGGCTAAGAGCTCTCCTTCCAACTTGAAATTTCTGAATAGAAGTGCTTTTATTCCTTTTCATTTTGAAAAGTGTTTTCTTTGTGGTGGGATTAGTTGGTGAGTGGCCTTTTCCGAGGACAGCTGAGTAGAATTAAGTCACAAGTGTTTAGAATGGTAGGCAGGAGTACATTGGTTCTAATCCTAGATGAGGTAGGGTGTGTGTGTGTGTGTGTGTGTGTGTGTGTGTGTGTGTGCGCGCGCGCGTGCGCGCGCACGCGCGCATGTGCAAAAGGTATCACTGGTTTACAAGGGCATCTCTACAACTTCTGGAGCTTTAGAAGATCTGAATTGGGTGACAAGTATAATAGGCATTCATTGATGTCTTCATGTTGGGTTTGGTTGCCTAGATTGTCTTAGAACTTGAGGCAGACTTGGAAATATCCTGAAGGTGTTTGCTGGCCTCTGTGACCATTTGCAGTATGACGTGTGGTTATATGACAACCAGTCCCTCTCCTAGTTCTGTCTGTTCTCAGTTCCTGACTTCTGAATTTGTCAGTCATATCAGCATCTCCTCCTTGATTAGGATTCTGATGTTTTCCCAGAGCATCATCACATCATGGCCATCTTTCTCAATCCATGCTTAGATATTGTAAACTTTTATGTTTCTAGGAGGTAAGCCTCCCTAGGAAGAAAAATGTGTCACTAGGGAACATGGATCCATCATTCCCAAGACAAATAGAGTTCTGTAGTTTCTGAAAGCTCTGTGGGAACCCTGCATTCCCACATGGGTAGCTGTCATCCCCGAGTCTGAGGTAGAGCGCGCGCCGCCATAGTGGGGATTTGGTCTTCCTGCTGAGATGGGCGTTGCAGAGATGTGTGTCTATCCACAGCATTGGGGCCTTCCGGCTCTCACAGAACCTTCGGCGTCCCCAGCTGCCAGTCTTGGCATCTTCGAAGTAAGGAGAGGTGAGAATCCCCTTGCATGGTCAGGTTTGACTTGACTTCTTCCTTTTGAGTGTTTGGGCTCGGGTAGGGGGTGGGGGGAAGTAAGGGTGGATGCTTGCTCAGATTTATTTTTCTGTAGATTCTGATAAGGCAGCATATTCTCTAAGCCTACCAGAACTTAACCCAAAGCTATAAAGTGGTGAGAACCAGAGGTGGAGAATCCAGATCCTAGAGTTTTGTCATTTCTCCATGGGCATCTCATAAGTACCTACTCTAGGTTCAGGATGATTAGCTACAGCTAGAATAGTCCTGTATTCTGAGAAATATACATCTGAAAGACAATAGGAAGAAACCTATTCACTTGGCTTTTAATAATGTAAATTTGAGCAAGGCCTTTGGGAACATGATTTAATTTGGGCTGAGTGTTACCTTTGGGTGATTTTTTAAAAAGATTTATTTATTTATTTGAAAATCAGAGTTACACAGAGAACGAAGGAGAGGCAGAGAGAGAAAGGGGGAGGGGGAGGAGGAGGGGGGGAGGGAAGGAGGGAAAGGTCTTCCATCCGATAGTTCACTCTCCAGATGGCCACAACGGCCGGAGCTGCGCCGATCTGAAGCTGGGAGCCAGGAGCTTCTTCTGGGTCTTCCACATGGGTGCAGGGGCCCAAAGACTTGGGCCATCTTCTACTGCTTTCCCAGGCCATAGCAGAGAGCTGGATTGGAAATGGAGCAGCCAGGACTTGAACCGGCGCGCATATGGGATGTTGGTACTGCAGGTGGCGACTTTACTTGCTATGCCACAGCGCTGGCCCCTGGGTGATTGAATAATCCCAATCTATTTATATTTTAAAGGATCAAGATCAGGCTAACCAGGTGGATTCTGATGTTTGATATCCAGGGACTTGGAGGCTGTTTGGTAACTAAGAGCCAGCACTTTGCTGGTTCCTGGGATTGTAGTTTATTATTTTTTTCTTTTTTGACAGGCAGAGTGGACAGTGAGAGAGAGAGAGAGAGAGAAAGGTCTTCCTTTGCCGTTGGTTCACCCTCCAATGGCCGCCGCGGCCAGCGCGCTGCGGCCGGCGCACAGCGCTGATCCGATGGCAGGAGCCAGGTGCTTATCCTGGTCTCCCATGGGGTGCAGGGCCCAAGTACTTGGGCCATCCTCCACTGCACTCCCTGGCCACAGCAGAGAGCTGGCCTGGAAGAGGGGCAACCGGGACAGAATCTGGCGCCCCGACCGGGACTAGAACGTGGTGTGCCGGCGCCGCAAGGCGGAGGATTAGCCTAGTGAGCCGCGGCGCCGGCCGGGATTGTAGTTTAAAGCAGCCACGCTGGCACCAGAGAGCTTAGGAATTCATGGGTGAGACAGTGAAGAGGTAGTTCTGATACACTCCAAGAATGCTGTGATAAGGGAAGTGTGGGTGCTTTGGGAGTACAGAAGGGTCCCTAGCTGAGATTTGTGGGCTCAGGAAGATCTCTCAGAGGAGGTAACTTCCTCACCTGGAAATAGGTGAAGACATGAAGGACCAAGTCAGAGCTTTGTTTTTAAATGTTTAGCAAAGGCTTTAGTAAGTGATTGCTTAACAGAGCTTTGTTGAGTTTGAGAAAGTTCAGTGTGGTTGAAACAATGCTTAGAAGGCAGGAGTCGAGAGAATATAGTGAGAGATGAGGCAGAAAAGGTAAGCAGAGACCAGAGTCTGTTAAACTCTAAGGATTAGACCCAAGAGGTAGAAAAAGATTAGATTAGGGGTTGGCAAATGTTTTCTGTAAAGGACAGGATATTAACCAGGCTTTGTGGGTCACTGTCATGACTACTCAACTCTGTTTATGCATGAAAGCAGCTGTAGCAGGATGAAAATAAATGAGCATGGCTGTGTTTCAATAAAACTTTATTTATAAAAGCAGCTGAATTTGGCCATGGACCATAGTTGCTGATCAAATTTAAGACCAGCAAGAAGCTGATATTAGGTTTGTGTTGTAGAAAATTTGCTCCAATTTCAGTGTGAAGAAAGAGTGTGTTGAAGAGGACAGAAAATACTAGAAGCAGAGAAACCAATAAGGAGGCTGTGGCAGTTATATGGGTAGAATTTTATATTACCTGTTTTATGTCTGTATTTGTTTTTTTTTTTTTTTTTAAGATTTTAATTTTTTGAAAGGCAGATTTAAAAGAGAGAGATGGATCTTCTATCTGCTGGTTCACTCTCCAAGTGGCTGCAACAGCTTGGGCTGTGCCAGGCCGAAGCCAGGAGCTTTATCGGGGTCTCCCACATGGGAGACTTGGGCCATCTGCTGCTGCTTTCCCAGATGCATTAGCAGGGAGCTGGATCAGAAATGGAGCAGCTGGGACTTGAACTGGCATTGCAGGCAGCGGCTTAACCTGTTATGCCACAACGCTTGCCTCTGTATTTTGTTCTTAAAAATGGACTATAGGGAGCCGGCGCTGTGGTGCAGCAGGTTAAAGCCCTGGCCTGAAGTGCCGACATCCCTTATGGGTGCCGGTTCTAGTCCCACCTGCTTCTCTTCCTATCCGGCTCTCTGCAATGGCCTGGGAGAGCAGTAGAAAATGGCCCAAGTCCTTGGGCCCCTGCACCCGCATGGGAGACCCAGAAGAGGCTCCTGACTCCTGGCTTCGGATTGGCATAGCTCCGGCTGTTGCGGCCATCTGGGGAGTGAACCAGTGGATGGAAGACCTCTCTCTTTGTCTCTACCTCTCTCTGTAACTCTTTCAGATAAATAAAATCAACTAAAGATGAAAGGCTTAGGCAAACTCTTTAACATCAGTGTGATCATGCACGTCTGGAACTGAAGGATGTTCTTCTTAAAGAATGTGAAGCCGCCCCGCGCTTCCTTAGGCTAATTCCTCGCCTGCGGCCGCCGCCACACCAGGTTCTAGTCCCGGTCGGGGCGCCGGGATTCTGTCCCGGTTGCCCCTTTTCCCAGCCCAGCCCTCTGCTGTGCCCAGGGAGTGCAAGGTAGAGGATGGGCCAGGTGCTTGGGCCCTGCACCCCATGGGAGACCAGGAAAAAGCACCTGGCTCCTGGCTCCTGCCATCGGATCAGCGCGGTGCCCCGACCCAGCGCCCCGGCCGCGGCGCCCATTGGAGGGTGACCCAACGGCAAAGGAAGACCTTTCTCTCTGTCTCTCTCTCTCACTGTCCACTCTGCCTGTCAAAAAAAAAAAAAAAAAAAAAAAAAAAAAAAAAAAAAAAAAGAATTGTTGGAAATACCAGCTCCTGTTTCACAGCCTGGGAAAGATATTGGAAAGCAATTAGTTAAAAGATTTTGGGGCCTATTTTCTTTCATTTTTTGAAAAATTTATTTATTTATTTATTTTAAAGATTTTGTTTATCTGAGAGATAGTTACAGGCAGAGAGAGGGAGAGACAGAGAAAAGACATCTGTCTGCTGGTTCACTCCCCAAATGACTGCAATGGCTAGAGCTAGGCTGCTCCTGGCGCCAGGAGCTTCTTCAGGGTCTCACACGTGGATAAAGGGACCTAGGCACTTAAGCCACCTTCCACTGCCTTCTCAGGCCGTAACAGAGAGTCGATCGAAAGAGGAGCAGCCAGGACTAGAACCAGTGCCCATTTGGGATGATGAGACCAGAGGTGGAGGCTTAGCCCACTATGCCACAGTGCTGGCCCCTAAGACTTATTTATTTTAAAGAGCAATATAGAAAGGGGGATACAGAGAGAATGAGAGTGGGGGGGAAGGGAGAGAGAGAGGGAGAAAGAGAAATCTTCCATCAGTTGTTTCATTCCCCAAATGGCTACAAAAATCCAGGAGTCCTGAACTTCCATCTGAGTTTCCCACATGGATGGCAGGGACACAAGCACTTGTGCCATCATGGGCTACTTTCCCAGGCTCATAGGCAGGGAGCTGGATGAGAAGGGGAGCAGCCGGGACTCTAATGGGCACTCTGATGTGGGATGCAGGCATCGCAAGCAGTGGCTTAACCTGCTGCCTACAATGCCAGCCATGGGAATTATTTTCTAATGAAGGAATTATGGAATAAATGGAGCCCTGCAAGGGTTCTTGATCTTGGGGCTTATAGCCTACTGTCAGTTGCTTTGAACTTGAACTGTACACATAGAAAATGACCCGTTTTCCTAATCTTTCCAGGGAATTGTCCTCATAATATATCCCACTCAGTCTCTCCTTTTCCTGCTTGTAGCAGACTGATGACCTTTTCCCAATTTTGGAACTGTCTCCCAGTTCAGGTATGGTGATATATGTTAGGCACAGGGACCACATACAGTATTTGTTGAATGTATAATGCATAGGTGAGAGCTGAGGGTCCTGTGTCTGTCTGCTCCTTTCCTTTGTCCACCTCTTCCTACACACTCCAGTGTACTTGTTTTGCTGGAGGGAAGCCTGTGGGTTTCTGATAATAGTGTGTGTGTGATATTGGGCAAGTAACTTTCCTCCCTGGGCTTCACTTTCTTATCTGTAAAATGAAGATAATGGGACTTTCTAGGATTGCTTAAGGTATTTAATAATGTATCTAAAACTCTTAACAGTGTCTTGATGACTTCTGTTACAAGTAATATTTTACACAATAATTTTTTAAAAAACACCTATAGTTAGATGACTTGGCCTTTGGCTTAGTGTGTTTTGAGTCCTCAGTTGTCATTATGTCCATGTGATAGAAATGTAGCCCCTGGTGGTAGCAGCCAGCAGACAGGAGGGAATTACACTAAAGGAAGGCACCGTTCTTCATAATGGAGAATTTCAAACAGCAGGAGTTCCACTCTGAATTCCAGAACTTTTTTCAGGATGGACTCTAGTCCTAGCATCATCAGAACAGCAAAGCAAGTGAGCAGCGTCTCAATAGAGATTCACCAAAGTGTGACCAGTTGTTCCTTGTCTGGAGTCATTTGTTAGTGTTGCCACCCTCGTGGCCTACACAGCTTTGTAAGGGCTTCTTGAATGTTTTTTCTTCCTTTTCCCCAGCACTGTGGGAAGTGGGTTGGGTGATGGACGTTTGTATCCTACCATGTGAGGAGACAGGCCCCAGGAGGTG